ACATATTCTAAATATTAATGCTCTGTCAGAGAGTAAGCTTTTTTCCCCATTCTGTAGATTCACACATACTGTATTTGACATTTTCTGTTAAAAAGATAACTTAGGTATACTTTACTCATATTTTTTTTATTTACATACTTTTTAAATATGTATTAAAGTTGGCATAGAAGGGAAGAGGTAGTAAATTGAGGGCAAGCTGTGAGTACAAGACCCTAGAATAGACCCAACAAATTTATAATGGCCAGAGCTGAAGCAGATAAGGCAAAATTAGGAAATGAACAACAGTGTTCCAAATTGCTCTTTGAAACTTAAGAAAGTGAATTCTAGATGAGGAAGTAAATATTATAGACAATACCCAAGAATCAATTACCATGTCACAGATACCTTGGTACAGCAGAATATGAGTTAGGAATGAGTTCAAGGGCAAATAGAACACAAAAATATAACAGTGGTGCTCGTAGGCAGTTCCACATCTTTGTGGTAAAGTGTCTTCATTCTGGGAAGCAAATGCAAAGAGGGAGATTTAGCTGTCTCTTAGGAAAGTTCTTAGAAACTACCATGCTAAGGGGAATCCAGGCCACATGTGACACCTATATATACATTGTAGAGCCAAGACAGAATCTGCTGCCTATGAGAAACCAAAAGACAGCATTCCACCAAACTCTAAACAAGTATTTATTTTTTGTCCAGTGATAGTAACTGCTGAAGAAGCAAATTGTTTCACTATTTTTCCTGGTTGCTTCTTATGAAAGAAGTTGACCCAGAAAGAAATTTTTCTTGCAGAAAAATCTAAAATCCAATAATAAGGAGAAGACAGATTAGGGTGATTACAGTGAATATCCATTTTCATATGTCTTTTGGATATTATGAGGTTATCAGAACTAATGATGAAAATCTTATGGCTTAGCTCATGGGAAAGGGTGTACGAATGGTAGGCAAGAACATCCAGGATGCTGTGTGCACCTTGTGAAGACACGAAGGGATTAGATTAACCCAGCCTCCCTCACTCTTCCCTCTCTTCAATTGTTCCATTTTTTTAAAGACTAAAACTTGAGCAAAAGCAAGAGGAATAGAGTTGTCAAGTTTGTCATTGGGGAAAAAAAAATATATGGAATAGGGGGAGATCTCTTGGGGAAAAGTTGCTCTGGTTTTTCATGAGATGATATTTTATTAGAGAGTCCCAAATGGGAATAAGATGGGATGATACCTAGAAAGCAGAAATTTGAGGAAGGCAGTTGGAGGGAAGGTAAGAGATGCTATAATGACTAATATAATCCTGTCATGAAAATTGAAATTTAGAATTGTAATGTATTCCCACACTAATTTTGCTTTTTGAGGAAGCCAGAGTTTTATTTCCTAAACTGATTTCCCATCTACCACCAGCTATTAGAAATTCTCTGAATATTTTCACTTCTACACTATAATTCGTGGGGCTGGGGGAAGATGATTGATGGGTGGAAGGGAGTAGGGACAAGACAGAAAATAATACCAAATAATTATTTTATTAGTAAAACAGATAGTCAAGATGTAAAACTTCTTCCTAAAAAATGTATTTAAAACATTTTTAAAAATAGGATTAAAAGTATTTTTCTAACATGATAAAGAGTATGTTGAATTAATAGCCAATTTCACACTTAATGGTTGATAATAATAAGTGATGTTAATAATTGGCAACAAATTGTCATCACATTCTATAAGCAAGGCCCTGGGCAATCAATGTGAATAATCTTATTTAATCCTCAGTATCTGTGGGGGATTGGTTTAAGTACTCTCTGATGATATTAAAATCTGTAGTTAATCAAGTCCCTCACATAAAATAGAGTCATATTTGCATATAACCCGTGCATATCTTCCTGGATACTTTAAGTCATCTCTAGATTGCTTATAATACCTAATCCAATGCAAATGCTACATAAGTTATTTTTCTGATGTATTGTTTTGGGAATAAGAAAAAATATAAAGGTCTTTACATATTCAATACAGACACAATTTTTAAAAAAAAAATGTATTCAAACCAAAGTTGGTTGAATCTATAGATGTAAAGTCCCAAATATGGAAGGCCAACTGCAAGTTTAAAGGTTAGGCTTGGTATTAATTTTTATTTCTTAGGAGACTGAAACATAGGAAAGTTAACTTTTCCAAGATCACTAAGCTTAAATTTACAGAAATCAGATAAGTCCCCTGAATTTGGCTTCCATAATGTCTCAGAGAGGGCAAGTTGATGTTCCTGGAGAAGAACCAAGAGGTGAGTGCAGGAGATGACAACTGAGAGCACTGATTCTAGGTGACCCTTCAACTCCTTGAAGGGTTTAAGGCAGGAATTGGCCTGATTGGTTAAATCAAATTGTCTGTGTGGCTGGCTGGGATGTGAACCGTAGGAAGGCAGGAGTGGGACTGAGAAGAGTTACAAGGCTGTCAAACACAGTCCCAAAAGCACGTGTGCATAGATTAGATTAGGCTTTATTAGTAAAGTGAGATGCTATAGTTGGATGTATAATTTTTCACTAAATACCGATAGCCCTGGGAGTATGTGGCTCAGCACCCATCAAGGTTTGCTTTCCCCACAAAGTGATTCAATAAGATGGAGGAAAGGGAACTTGGGAAATCACTAGCCTCAGTCATTTTCCCCAAGTAAAGGAGGAGGAAAAACTCCACTCAGATCCTTCAGCTGGGATGAGAGTCTTCAAATTAAATACCTGCCTGGCACAGTGGCATATGCCTTAATCCTAGCAGTACCAGAGGCTCAGGCAGGAGGATTGTGAGTTCAAAACCAGCCTCAGAAACTTAGTGAAGCCCTAAGCAACTTAGGGAGACCCTGTCTCAAAATTAAAAATTAAAAAGGGCTGGAGATGTAGCTCAGTGATTAAGTGACCCTGCATTCAATTCCTTAGAACCAAAACAAAAAACAAAACAAAAAAAAAACAGTTAAATATTCAAGACAAAGGATAAAAAGTCCCTTGAAGCAAATAAACACAAAATGTGGATTCTAATTTTAGGTAACAGAGGCTTCCTTCCCCTCGAGAGTAGGGGTCTGAAATCCCAGGGATCTTGCCAGTTTTTTATAACTACACATCTGAATGTATTGATGAGTTGTAATCTAATTAGTTGAAATCTAATTAGCATGTGAGACGAACATGTTTTTCTAATAAAAGATAATAAGAGAAAATTATAGTGTTATCACTCGTAGATATTGTTTCAGAAAACTTTTGTTTTGACATTTCAAAGACTTATTGAAGTGGATAAAGGTGAACATAACAGCCCCATGCCTCCTGCCAAACCCAATGAAGGGAAAGACTGCACCTGATAAAAAATCATAGGGAAAAAAATAGGAAAAAGGGAGTCAAGTCAAGATGCTGACTGACATATCTGCATTTCTTTGGGAAGAAAGTCAAAGGCAAATTCCAGAACATGCCCCAATCCACTCCTTGTGTGGCAGATATCACCTCAGAAAGTGGCTGACTCAGTACATCAAAAAAAAAAAGAAGGAAGGAAGGAATAAAAGAATTCTAAAGGACTTGTATAGTTTGAAAAGGAACCACCATTAATATATAAGACTGGGGTATGGAAAATCAGTCTGGGACAAGTCAAGTGGTTTGGAGGGACCCCAAGTTCCAACCTAGTGAGAGGTGGACCACGCATATGCATGAGAACATTATATGGTTCATAGATTTGACTTCAAAGAAATGTGAATTCTACAAATAAAACCAAGTCCAAAAGCAACCTCAAAGAACTTGATGAATATGTTAATGTTAACATGCCTGATAAGAGTTCTTAGGAATCAAAAAAAAAACACAGCAATGGCTTAAAGCTAGGGCTTGCTGGCAGATATTCTTTTATCTGACGGAAGGTGTAGGGATTTTTGCAAATGAAACTGCACCTTGTGGACAAAAGTTCAGGAATCCAACCTTCAAAACAGTCATTCCCTCTTCATGTAATTGACTCTAGGAGTTTCAGAATCTTTTGCCATTTGTAAAACTTGACATTCTCTGATTGAACCTATTGGCATATATATATATATATATATATATATATATATATATATATATATATGCCATATCATTTTGAAAACCACACAATTGGCCAATTATTGAAAAGGCAAAGGGAAATTCCCATTAGAACAAGTATGAATCATTAACAATATAACTTAGTCAAAGATCTTGGCCTTTTAAGAAACCCTACACAGTTACATTTGGAAAAAATAAAGGTGGGAAACCTAGTTCTTTCCCAGTAGTTATATGTCCCTCTCTGAAATTTCATGTCATTTCAAAACATCTCACTAGATATCTGATTCTTCTTTCTCCCAGAAAACAATCATACAGAAATTCTATAAGAAAAAAAAGAGCATGAAATAATGAAAAAGATATTGTTTCTATCCCCAAAATTCTTAAAATCTAACATTCTTCATTTGTTATTTACTGGAACACAAACATGCAGTATTGTTTCTAATCATCAGAGTTATTTGCCTGACACATATAAATATGCCCATTCATAGACTAGAAAACTGAGGTCAGTTGTATTTAATAACTTTCCTGAAGACACCATAGATAGTCTTAAAAAATCCACTAAAAATCTACACACACACACAAAAAAAAATCAGTCACAAAGTCTAGAAAAATCACCAAAAAACAAACCACAAAACAAAAATCAAAAACTGGTCTGTGGTTCTGCTACAGTCTACAAAAATAATTATTTTTTGTTTGTTTACTTATGTTATAGAGGAGGAAAGTTTTATTTGAGGACTTACGGTTTCAGAGGTCTCAGTCCATAGGCAGCCAGCTCCATTTCCTGGGGCTCAAGGTGAGGCAGAACATCATGGCAGAAGAGTGTGGCAGAAGTAAGCAGCTTACATAATGATCAAAAAGCAGAAAGAGCTACAAAATTTATTTTTGAAACTACCAAATCTTGACACTTTATCAAATTGTCTCTTCCTTGGTCATGGTGACCTTTTTCAAGTCCAAGGTCTCATTCATCTCAGAAAGTTTGTGAGAAGGGTAAATTTCTTATGAGACTATCCTCAATGGGGAACCTCTATTCCGTTCTGCTGGTGACTCAGGATAAAAGAATGGACACAAATGCTCCCAAACAGCTATGGAGAACAAAACAGCTGTACAAATGAGGTCACCATTTTTAACATTAAAAAATTTGATTTCTCCCATCTCCACATCCAGTAAAATTCCTACTTGGCAAAGGTCAGGACTTGCAGGAATTCCTTCCTGCGTCGAGCTAGCATGAATTTCTCCTGCCTTCAAGCTAATGATCCAGAAACCATGCTCAGGGGATAAATTCATGCTCCTCTTTCTTTCCACCAACTCTTTGCAGACACCCAGGGCCCACTCCGTCCCTTGTTCCACTTCAACTTCCCAGTAATGGCGTCCAGAGGAGAAGCAGGGGGAGCCCAGGACACAAGCAAGCCTAGTGAATCTTTTGGGATACTCCACCAGGTTGTAGCAAATCTTCCCACAGTGGACAGTCTTTAGATCATTGGAGAGTACAAGGAGGCAGTTGGCGGTGGCAGCATCCAAGGTCACATCCACCCAGAACCTCAGAAGCTCAGTACTCCAAAGGAGACTTTGCCCCAGGAATGAGCCATGCTGCCTGATCCATAGTGTCAGCGTTCTAATATGCATCTCTTCCCTGACAGGTTTCTTGTTTTCTCTTCGACACAAGGGGCAGGTCAGGATTGAGTCTTCTCTAATTTTCAGCCAATCTTGAATGCAATGAAAGCAGAAAATGTGTGAACAGGACAGAGAAATGGGATCGAAGACCAATTCCAGGCAAATTGGGCAGAATATTTCCACTTCCAAACTTCTGTCCATGGTCCAGGGGTGAATTCAGTCCAGTGAACTTTTCTTATCTTCAGTAATGTGTCTAAACCTAATACAAAAATTAAATAATACAGAGGGCTGAGAGGTGTAGGTATATATATATATATATATATATATATATATATATATATAGCTCAGTTGGTAGAGTGCCTGCCTCTCATGCACAAAGCACTGGGTATCAATCCCCAGCACTTCCAAAAAATTAAATAATACAAATATTTTCTGTAATTTATGTATAGAAGTTATATGAAGTCAGATAATCACAATAATGCAATCATCTGTAATAAAAACTATCACACTGTCCAAAATCCAGGTAACCACAAGAGAGAAATGAGATGGTGGAAATGGTCTTTTCAGGCCAACAGTTAATCTTGTCTGGAGAGTTCCAGGTGAGGTGTTCTCTGCTCTGATTCAGGCTTCATCTTGTGGGAGCTGAGCCGAACTGGGTCCTTAATAGAATCTAGGTAGGAATGCAGTCTTCACCCTAATCAGTAATCCTTTGTGGGCTACCTTACATTAAAATAAAAGGATTTCTATGCCTAAACCCAATCATAAAAGTAAAGACAATCCCAATGCAGTTGCAAAAACATGGCTAAGGAAGTCTCAGAATTTTAAAGAAAATCACCACATGTGAGTAAAACTAGCAAAATACACTGAAAAATGAATAAGATGCCCAAGATAGAATCAATTTTAAAGACAAAGTTTCATTAGGGGAAATGCTTTAAAGCATTCTTAGAAAACTAATCAAGACCTGAGTGGATGTGAATATTAAAATATAATCATTGTTGTTAGGTCCAGGACAGGCTGAACTAAGTTGTCTGCAGGGCAAGCTAAACAAACATTAGCTGCAGGACCAGCCACTCAAACCCCCTCTGTCTGGTTCTTTATCACCTGTTTGCATCAAGTCCAAATGCTCAAGCTCCCGCTCAAGGCTGAACACTCAACTGCCCCCCCCCAAGGCTGAACACTTAACCCCCCTTGTGCCAACAAGGCAGCTTGCAAACCCAGAGACGCTATTAGACTTACGCAGCACAAAAGAAGGGCTATAAAAACCTTCCCCTGCCCAGCTCTCTTTTTCTCCTTTTTTGCACTGCTGCAATAAAGATCTCTTGGTTGCTCTGGGTGTTGTGGTCAATTTTCTTTCAATTGTCATCAACTCTTCTAAAAATAACAACACCTAAACACAAAACAAAAGGATGTCCATGACAAAGAAGATACTGGGCTGCTCCCAAAGCCCAGCATCCCTGATGCTATACTATAGCATTTTGCTGGGCCCTACCACCATAGTTGCTGGTCTTTGCATGAATTAACTCTAGCATGTCTTTGGACCAAAGACAGTTACTCAAGACTGAACAGTGCCTGTGAGATGATGTGAACCAAGGACTCTACCAAAAAGAGCATCACTAATAACTAGCAGAGCTTCTTACCAAGAGTTCACAAATCACATGCACATTTGTGGTTGGAGCATCAACATTGCCCTAGGTAGAGGAGAAAACAATTAACATTGAGGCCAGCCTGATACACTGGGTCACCAGTGCTGTCATGCATCCCAGACTGTATCTTCTCATCTCCATCCAAGAACTACCTAAGAGCTTTCCATGTTCCAGGCTTCAACTCAACTCTGGAAATACAAACATGTATAACAATAGACAGGACATCTGCCCACATGGTACTTGGAGTCTTTGGTCACTCCAATCTGACCAGACCTGGCTGGGGGAAAACAGAGTGAATCTGCTTTCCTGTTGTTCTTTTCACAAAATCCTTCTTTTAAAGAAAAAATTAACATGGTGCCAGCAATCTACAAGAGCTTGCCTAGCCTACCTTGGAATGTATCCAGCAATTTTGCAAAAGAAAAAAAAATGTTACATTTGTAAAAAGTTGTTCATGTTAAAAGTTGTTAACCACGGTCCTAAATGATTAGAACCATTTAATTATGTAAAGATAATGAAATGATTCAGTAAATTATCACACAACTATTAAGTGGTAGGTACATTTAAGTGAAAGGAGAAAAATCTTTAAGCAATAATGTTAAAAAATAAAAAGAAATTATTTTAAAACTGCATATATGTTATTTGAAAAACTTAAAAAACATGTGACTCTGGCAAATACCTACAATTCTACCTGTACCACAGGTTGAGATGGGAGAACTACCTGAGCCCAAGTATTTGAGGCCAGTCTGGGCAACATAGAGAGACCCCCCTCTCAAGATGAAGGAGAAAAAAATGATTATGTTTTACACTATACATTATAATTAATATATGATATATTATATACATATATATATATATAATTTTTGTCTCCTTCTTTAGGAGAAATTATATGTATGTATATATATAAGTATATATGTGTGTATATATATATATATATATATATTTGGGAGAACTACTTGATATATATGTATATGAAAAGTGGCCTGAAGTTAATAAATAGGTAAAATTTAAAGTGGTAATATGACAGTGAAAACAGAAAAAAATTTTCTAGTATGGGACAAGACTGGCTCTTCTAAATTTTAAAGGTTAAAACACTCAAAAAAAAAATCAAGTTGTAGCCAAAGGGAGAGAAAATCGACAATGAAAATAACCCAGAAAGGAGAGACAACTTACTTAGACTTGGAGATTTTCAGCAGCAGTCTTAAAAATCTATCTGTCCACAGCTCCACTTCTCCCAGCCTAATGACCTCTCTGAAGTGAGTCCAAGCTCTAACAGTCTGGCCTTTTATAGTGCCCTGAACACAGACTCCACCCACAATCTAGACATAGGCTCCACCCCAAAGATTATACTATTTAAATCTAATCCAGTAAGTTTAATAAATCTTTCTCTTCCATGTAAGATGACGGCATTAAAGTACACTTGGTAATTTATTGTCTAAAAATTCAGAATTTCATAAATCTTCGAGTTAAACTAGCAAAACTACTAGCCACCCAAATCAGATCTCTAATTTCATAAATCAACTTTAAAAAACAAAAAGTAGCAGGGAAGGAAGATGGCGGCGAATGGAAGTGTGGCATCCCCGTGTCACTGCGCTGGCGATGAGTGAGTTCAGAATGACTGGAAGCTGTCTTGACAGGAATGTTCAGCAAAGTTGGGCTGCAGTGAAACCTAGGGGAAGAGTTTCAATACCTGAGGATCAGCGACTGTGACTCAACCGCAAGTGAATCTGAGCCAACCCATGCGCAGAGATTCAGGCTGACTGATTGGCGAACCCCCCTACCCCACCCCACTCCACCCACCCCATCCTCCAACTCCCCCCCACCCATCCCCACCCAGGAGGCTAGAGACCAGGAGCAACCCTAAGTGAATGGGATTAGAGAGACACCCGGTTGGGGAGGGGGAGCTGCCTTACACAGATTGTTTCCTACATCCCGAGGGCTGTGACTTGGTCTGGAAAGCACAGCTCCACCTACTGGAAGAGAAGAAAATAGAATTCTAAGAGTGAATTTTTTTTTTAATTTTAATTTTTATTTTATTTTATTATTTTGTTTTTTATTTCTTCTTTCTTTTTCTTTTTTTCTCTCTCCCTTTCTCTTTCCTGGATGTCTTCCTTACCTTTTCCCTATCTTTCCTCCCAAGCATGACCACTTCTATTATGTGTAATTTACTAAATGCAAATAGGTGAATGTTCTGAGGCGGTCTATAGTCCTCCTAAGTCCTTAGCTACCCCCAGATACTCCTGTCTATTTTCTTGTTAATATCCTCCTGCATTTGAGCAATCCCCCAAAGAAGCTAAGATATACTAACCTCCATACCATCACAATCTCCCAACCTTAACATAAAATCCTAAGACCAAACCTTAATTCTTTATACGCCATCAGAATCTGTAAGCCTTTAATGAAACTAATGAATTTACTTTAAATCACAATTAAACCCAACATCTCTAGACATTGTCTCCCATCACAAAGGAGAGATTTCAGAACTATACAAAACCAAAACAAATTTATAGGAGAAAATAATAACACAGCAGTCAAACAGAGCTGGAAAGAAACATGAGCATCATGAAAAAAAAGGAAGAAAAGGAACACAAACAATGCAGGACAGCTTAAATTTACAGGAGATGCTAGATGCATCAGAAAAATGGTCAGATAAAGAACTCAAGGCATACTTGATTCAGATGGAATGGAATCTTAAAGAGGTCATTAGACAGCAAATGCAAACAATGAAAGATAACTTCGACAATGAATTACATAAACAAATTCAAGAAGCAAAAGAACAGATCTACAGGGATATACAGGTTATAAAAAAATCAGACAGAAATCCTAGAAATGAAGGAAAGTATAAACCAAATTAAAAACTCAAATGAGAGTATCACCAGTAGAGAAGACCAAGTAGAAGTCAGAACATCAGACAACGAAGACAAAATATATCATCTCGAAAAGAGTCTAGTCAACTCAGAAAGGCTGGTAAGAAACCATGAGCAAAACATCCAAGAGATATGGGATATCATAAAAAAAAAACAAATTTAAGAGTTATTGGGATAGAGGAAGGTATAGAGGTCCAAACCAAAGGAATGAGCAACTGTTAAATGAAATAATTTTAGAAAACTTTCCAGACATGAAAAATGAAACGGATGTTCAAATCCTAGAAGCCTTCAGGATGCTGAAGCTTACAGACCAACGCCAAGACACATTATTATGAAGATATCCAACATACAGAACAAGGAGAGAATATTAAAAGCTACAAGAGAAAGGAGGCAGATTACATTTAGGGGTTAACCAATTAGGTTAATGGCTGTTTGATTGCTCCATTTACAATAGCCAAAAAAAAAAAAAAAACTTGGGAATCAACTTAACAAAAGAGGTAAAAGATCTATACAATGAAAACTACAGAACCCTAAAGAAAAAAGTCAAAGAAGAACTTAGAAGATGGAAAGATCTACCTCCCTCAAATAGGCAGAAGTAATATCAAAATGACCATACTACCAAAAGCACTATGCAGCTTTAATGCAATTCTGATCAAAATCCCCAATGAAATTCCTCATAAAAATAGAAAAAGCA